CTATTAACAGCTCCAGAATGACTTGGCGGTTTAGTTATGGTCTGGTTACTGTAAATGTAAATCAAATGAGTAACTGGGATTGAAGCGGAGGTTATATAATCTTATGTCGATCTTATGTTTGCGTGTGTGTGTGTGTGGATGTGTGTGTGTGTGTGTGTGTGTGAATGTGTGTGAATGTGTGTGTGTGTGTGTGTGTGTGTGTGTGTGTGTGTGTGTGTGTGTGTGTGTGTGTGTGAATGTGTGTGTGTGTGTGTGTGTGTGTGTGTGTGTGTGTGAATGTGTGTGTGTGTGTGAATGTGTGTGAATGTGTGTGTGTGTGTGTGTGTGTGTGTGTGTGTGTGTGTGTGAATGTGTGTGTGTGTGTGAATGTGTGTGTGTGTGTGTGTGAATGTGTGTGTGTGTGTGTGTGAATGTGTGTGTGTGTGTGTGAATGTGTGTGTGTGTGTGTGTGTGAATGTGTGTGTGTGTGTGTGTGTGTGTGAATGTGTGTGTGTGTGTGTGTGTGAATGTGTGTGTGTGTGTGTGAATGTGTGTGTGTGTGTGTGTGTGAATGTGTGTGTGTGTGTGTGTGTGAATGTGTGTGTGTGAACGTGTGTGTGTGTGTGTGCGTGTGAATGTGTGTGTGTGTGTGTGTGTGTGTGAATGTGTGTGTGTGTGTGTGTGTGAATGTGTGTGTGTGTGTGTGAATGTGTGTGTGTGTGTGTGTGTGAATGTGTGTGTGTGTGTGTGTGTGTGTGTGTGTGTGTGTGTGTGTGTGTGTGTGTGCGCGTGTGTGTGTTTGTTTGATTGTGCGTTTGTGTGTATGTGTTTGTTTATGCGTGTGTGTGTGTTTGTTTGTTTGTGCGTGTGTGTGTGTGTTTGTTTGAGCGTGAGTGTGTGTGTTTGTTTGTGCGTGTGTGTGTTTGTTTGTTTGTTTGTGTATGTGTGTGTGTGTGTGTTTGTGTGTGTGCTTAAATACTGTATAGGTATGTGTATGTTTGTGTGTATGTGTGTCCGTGAATGCGTGTGTGTGTGTGTGTGTGTGTTATGCATATATACTGTATATATGTTTGTGTGTGTGAATATCTGTGAGTGAGTGTGTGTGTGTGTGTGTGTGTGTGTGTGTGTGTGTGTGTGTGTGTGTGTACATATATATACATATATATACATGTATGTGTGTGTGTGGCTGTGTGTATATATATATACACATATACACACACGCACACACACATACACACACACACACACACACACACACACACACACACACACACACACACATATATATATATATACATATATATATATATATATATATATATATATATATATATATATATATATATATATGTACACACACACACACGTCATCACCGATGGGGTGTTTCACAAACTACTTAGCGCCATCTTGACATCATGTAGTTGACTGGGTCTTTATACTGGGTGGCTGACCCGTGTTTAGGTATATATGTGTGTGTGTTTATACACACACACACACACACACACACACACATACATACACACACACACACACACACGCACACACACACACACACACACACACATACACACACACACACACACATATATACACACACACACATACACACATATATATATGTATGTATATATATATGTATCATATATATGTACACATGTATACATACTGTATGTATGTATGTATATGTGTGAATGTGTGCGTGTGTATGTGTGTGTGTGTGTGTGTGTGTGTGTGTGTGTGTGTGTGTGTGTGTGTGTGTGTGTGTGTGTGTGTGCGTATTTTGTTTATCTATGAATACGTTTCCGTTTGTAAGTGTGCATCTGCACATGATTATCCGCCTAGATATGCTTTGAATTTCTATTTACACGAAAACGCCGATTGAACATAATTTTCCCGCGGCCAGTGACCTTTCTTTATAGGCCTACCTGGCCACGTGCTCGCCGTGTTATTATGTAAAAGCTATGTGAGCAGTCAGCGTGCGTCATGGAAGATAGTCCAGGCTAATAAATGGTCTAGAAATCATTAATGAATATATTAATAAATCATCTACTTATATATAATGTACTAATAAATGGAATCACGCTATATAATCTATTTATATTATAATGAATTGATAAATCTGTTGAATAATTTGACAGATTATAACATAAAAAAGCTAAGAATCCAGTATCAAGATGCAAATAGTATAATGATAATTTTATCGTAATTGATAGTAATCTAATAAGAATAGAATCACTATTTACCTGAGGCGGTTTAGTTGTCGCTTCTGGCACGCTCCGGCTCGCCGCTTCCTCTCTCGGAAAACACGTTCAGAACACGTTTATCTGGCGTCGCGGGCGTGGGAAGCGCGAGAGCTGGACCAGTCATGACAAACACAATCACTGCAACTGGTGAAAGCCCATGACGACGCAAAAATATCGGCTGAACCAATCTTCTCGCTGCTTCGTTTGGATTGGGTGAGGGTTTCGTTGCTTCGTTGCGGACCTCCTGGAATGAAACCGGTTCGTTGAGCGTGAATGG